CACTCAAACACAGAACAGTAACTCGGTTTTTTAACCCCTACTTGAAGGGTTACGTATTAGTTTTCAAGAAGAAGAGCAAAAGGAAGCATAATCTTTAAAAATGTTAGCACCACAAACACTATTATAATCACAAAGGAAAGTCTTCCACACCTTCATGCTCAGGCTGGTTTTTGATCCAGTAAAGGACAGCACTTTGACTTTTACTCTTTGTCCTTTGCTTACAACATCAGCTACATTGGCAACCCGTCCTTCTCTTCGAAGTTCCGAGATGTGCACCAAGCCCTCCCAACGCTTTCTGGAGGTGAAACAAAGGGGCATGAGATGTTGTGCACTGTTATTCTGACAGTCCTTCAAATCATCCAGTCCTGATCAAAGTATTTTGTTGTCAACTGATTATATTAATAAACTACGTTTTACAAGGAGAACATTCTCTGTTTCCTTTATTTTTCTGAAACAGACCTTCATTTTGGCATCAAAACCCATCATACGTTACTGTAGCTTCAAAACCTCTTTAAGATACCAGCAGAAAAGAGAACTCAGACGGAGCAGTATCAGGCTTATTGTTAACATCAGAAGGTACCTTAGTCCTTCCAGCTGCACAAAGCATCCAAACTGCATGATACTTGTGACTTTGCCGTTGTAAATGTCTCCAATGGAAGGCTCCTCAGGTGGTGGACGATCTATATGCTTGTCTCTCCATCTCTCATTGCTCTTCTCGATGTACTTCTCTCGATCCTTCCGGTCCCTACTAGGACTTCTGCTCCTAGACCGGTACCTGGATTTCCCCCTGTTCTTATCCTGAGTTCTGGAACCAGACCTAGAGCGAGATCTGTGCCTTCGTTTCCTGTCCCTGCTGCGACTTCGGCTCTTTCTCTTTTTCTTTGCCCTAACAAACAAACAAAGATACATTACATATTTGCAGTGAAATTCCACATCAGAACAGAGTGAGCAGACAACACCAACTGCCCATACCCACCCCACAAAAGACATACTGGTAACCTACCGGTGGTCACTGCTCCTCTGCCTGCCTTGCCTGTCTGCACTGGGCATCAGAGCTTCCAGCTCTTTAAGTGCATCAGCTGCCACCTTCACATCATCTTCATCCAGCATAGTCTGCAAAAGAATCCTTCTGTGAGAAGGCTAATGAAAAGTCCTTCACAGAGAATTAATCTACAGAAAGGATAACAATCACATGCATATCTATGTAGAAAGAACACAAGATAAAAAATTATCAGACACAATATGTGATATAGGGGGGAAAAGTAATGAAGTTATGTCGCTATTCTGCCACAACATTGAAACAATTCTGGTTTTATACAAAAGAAAGATCCATCACAACACCTCAAATTATTACAGAAATACAAAATGGAAGTCCCTTGTAGCATCTGAACATCCAAAGTTTTTGCCTAGTTCATAACCCATTATTACTTTCAACACTATGTGAGAAAGGCCAGGTTACAAGCTGCCTCATCTCACAGGTACCCTGCAAACCAGTTTCAACATGGCAACTGCTGCAACAGCTGCTTGTGATAACCATATGCAGTAACAGCAGGCCTCTGCCTTTTCTGTATTTCATTTCTCATAGTTCACCTTTATCTATGCATTAGCAGGAGACATTCATTAACATGAAAAAAACTTGAAACTAATAGAAATGGAAAAAAGAAACTAAACCCACATTTTTTAAAAAAAAACATTACGGCCTTACCCTAACGTTGGGATTGTCTGGCCTGCAAAGGGCTGGAAACAATTCCTTCAACTTTTCCTTCTCTGATTTGGGTTTGACAGTTGTCTCTGATTTTGAGATTTAGAACAAAAAGCAAATTAAAAGGCCCTTAAAAGTTTAGAAGAGGAAGAATAATTCACTTTTGACTTTTCTGCAATTCAACATAGAGTTTAACTTTAATCTGAATGCAAAGACTGATACAGATTTTCAAGATTCAATTCAAAGACTACAATGTTACTTTCCCACAAATAAAATTCTAATTATTAGTGAATCTGTGAAATACATGAATACTCTAAATAATGCACTCCTTATGTTTTTACTGCCTAAAGAGCTTTGCCAATCCACTACAAACAAAAGAGATCAACTCCCGCCGCACTGCTAAGATACAAAGTCTTGTCTTACAAGACCAAAACTGTAATTACACCAATCTCACCAAACGTGGCCAAAAAATTCAGAAAACTGAGTTTTGATTTTCTTTTTCCACTGGACTGGTCCAAGGTCACACGTACCTTTGCTCGTGGATGGTTTTGGTGGAGGCCGCATTGTCTGTATGAGGCGTAGCAAATTGCTAATAAGGGAGTCCTGAAAAATGTAATAAAATACTTGAATCTAAGAAATTACTCCAACACTTTTCATTATTGCAGAGCACAAGTGAGCGGGATAAAAAAAAAAAAGCTCAATTCTGAAGCTGCATGTTCATTTTTAGAAACCATCACTGGACTTCATGTATATCCGATAAAGATACAATAAGTTGAATCAGAACATAATTATGATCATACAATTTGGGTGATTTTACTACTTGTAGTTTTTAATCACCTACATAATCCAATCCAATTACTCCTGAGGAGCTGGTACACACATCATCTAAGTGTCATAAAGACTTATAACAACACACAAAAAGCTCTATAAAATATACCAAGATAAGAACGCCATGTAAACAAAGTTCAGATCTCACTTACAGTGAACTCAGCACCATTCTTCTGAAGAACTGCTTTAAATGTGTCAAATGTAGTATTTTTCTCAGCAAGACTTATCACAAATTCGGCTGCGAAAAAAATGCATAAAGTAAATTAAGAACAAATAATTTTTTAAAAGTACAAATACTTCACATTTGGATAAAAAACGTTTTCCCGGCAACTCACTGACCAGCAAGGTCCACCTGCCTACGGAAGAGCTGCACAGGCAGCGGCTTCCCTTCCGACTCCTTTCGAGGGAGTCCAAACCGAAGCGTTTTCTCACACTCACACCGAGGGTTTTTTTAAGAAAAAAACATGTGTTTTTTCTGAATTCGAAAAGTCTACGCAAAACACATCCTGGCCGACAGACACGGCCACATCAGCCCTTCCCGCTGATGCCGCCAGACCCGAAGGCGGCGGACACCGGCTGCCGCGGCCCGCGGGCGCCTGCCCAGCCACCGCTCGCTCACCCAGGTCCTTGTCGTTGATGCCCAGGTGGTTGTCCAGCTCGGTGCAGCCCTTGGAGACCAGCGACAGGTACTCGAGCTTGGCGAGCTCCTCCAGGGCCACCAGGTCCGCCATGATCCCTCCCGCGCACCGGACGCAACTTCCACATCCGGGGCACGACGGAAGCGGCGCGCGGTGCCGGGGGGCGGTGCCGGGGGCGGTGCCGGGGGGCGGCTCGTGGTTCGCGGCGGCGGCCCTGCCCGCTCAGGCCCCCTCAGGCGGCGGCCACCCCTGCAAGCCGGCCGGGATGCGAGGATGTGGGCAGACGAGGGGGCTGCAGCGGTGGCGGCCTTAGAGCTCGTACAGGGACTGAGCTGCTCCGCATCCGCGTGAGGCGAGCGCAGGGTCAGGCAGAGCTCTCCGAGCCAGCCCGGTACCTTCCTGGGGACGGCTGCGTCTCTTCTCCCGTAAAGGCTTCTGTCTCCCTTCATGCCTGATGATGAACGAGCTGCTGCGTCCTTGGAGCTGCACAGCGGCTGCAGCAAGGGCGAAGGGCCAAGTAACTCGCCTCGGGTTGCACAAGTGACAGCAGCAGATCAGTGGATCTGCAGGAACTCGGCAGGAAGGAGACTGAAGGCTGATCAGTTACCATTTCAGTGTGATCTCAGTGGATGACAGTGAGGAGCAACACTGCAACAGCTCTGTAAGAGGTGCTGGTTTCAGAAGTGTATTTTTAAGTGTTCAACTATTCTGACAGTTGGGTTCTATGATTCTGTGGGACAGATGCAGGAACATGCTGAACAGCTGAGTAAAAATTTATGTCCAGCAACTCCCAGGCTCCTATTTTACCCTCTGGAATGCATCAGGCAGCAGCTAAACTAGAACCTAAGGAATAACTAACCTCCATCGTTTGGGGGATACAGCTGCCAGCCCTGGAAGGAGACAACACTGCTGAGGCTGCTCCTCCTTGTAAAGTGTTGGGCAGTTTTGCAGCTTTAGATTACAAAAAACAAAACTAGCTTTTTCCTGATATTTGTGCAAATGAAGCTTTTCCAGTCAGAGATGAACTACATCCTGCTTGTTCAAGTTGAAAGCACTAAAAACCAAGGCATACAAGAAAACAGTAGAACAAACAGCATGTGCTGGTCACCACACACTGACTAGAAAGCAGAATATTTTTTTACTTCATGATACAAAACATGTTTTCTTATCACTGAAATGGATGCCATTAAGGGAAAGCTAGTGGATAAGCTTCAAAATTCTCACCTGCTGCACTGGACAGCTTAAAACAACAGTCACCCAAGAGCCACCCTCACAAGGTGTTTTGGCATGACATGCAGTAGTTTTTCCTAAGACTCAGAGATCACAACATCAGTCCTATTTCTTGTTCTTGTTGTGCAAGGTGATGCACGTGTGCACATTCTGGTGATGCAGACACAATCCAGTCCAAAAGCCTCAGTCCTCCTTTTTCCAAATTATGAAATATTTAAATTCAGGACAGGAGTGCATAATTATGCAAGGAGGAAGCAACTAGAGTGAATCTGACTAATAGGGCACTGCCTCCAAAGTAGCACTGAATCACAGTGAGGTCCACTCCAGCCAGCCAAGCAGAGACCCCATGCATGGTCACTGTTGAAGCGTCAGCCATGGTAAGGCACTGAAAAAGGCAAGCTGCAGTCTGAGGGCAATAGAGTCCACATTCAAAGGCAAGTATGTTACCATCTTTGAATGAGAGGTGGATATCTTCTCCAGGAACCACCAATCCTCCTGTTTAAAGCATAGATTGAGAAGAAGCCTTAGAACTTTGTCTCCTTACGACTTGCCTTTGCGGTGGAGAATAAGCTGCACCCAAAAGCTCTGCCAACCTGGCCCTGTCACAGCAGGCGGTGGTACAGTGGGCGAGGTAGCGTGGCATTTCCCCGGCAGTCCACGTACTGGTAGTCCTCAAAAGCCAGCTGCTCTGAATGACAAAGGTATGTGCAGGTCAGGGTACCCCTGCAAGGCAAAAGCAGACATGAACTGTACTTGTGATTGTCCCAGATGAGTGTTTTCATAACACAAATGTCCCACAGTGAGCTCCCCCTCCACTCTGTTCTGTCGCCAGTACATAGCCCCAGAACAAAACAGTCAGGATACCCTCAGCTCAATTTCAAATGTGGGACATGTAAAGGCTTTCTTTAATGAAGTCTGGAAGAAGCTTTCCAAGATCACTACCATCACAACAGATGCATTGGCCATTCTAGAAGCCAAATACCTCAGCATAACACTCCTGGACCATCTCAGCATTTACCACTTCCCAAAGTGCTAGAGCAAGTCACAGTGGGTGGCTGTTTACAGAGGTAGCTAGACAAAAGCATCTCTTTCAATCACTATCTTTCTCTGCTACCTAAATAGCTGTTTGCATCAAGTAGCTGCTCCTAACACCATGGAGTCCATCAGTATGTAGTATTAGCAGGAAGAGAGGCAGTGCAGAAAAATGTAAAGATAACTGGAATAATCTTCAGCTTCTGGCTAACAGAGAGCTTGTAGGAAGAGACAGCAAAGTTCCCGTCAGCCCATGGCATCAGCCAAGGACTATGTTGCCTTAACAGCCATGCTGTCCAAAAGGCACCATTGTTACCATGCCTTGAATAGCATGTGGCTTCTCCACACAGTTCACCTGTTTAAACTTCACATCACAGCTGCTATTAGAACACTTGGAGGCCATCATCCACAGAGTCCAGTTTGAATGAGTCTGCACTCAACACCAGAAGGCAGGCAAGCATAATCAAACCAGTCAGTACTTCTAGCTCTGAACAAAGAATTGCTCCCTGACAGCTACAATCAGTATTCCAGAAGTATGTTTATTTCCCAGGCCAGCTTGCTTTAAGCAACAGTGACAGCTGGAACTGTCAGTCTGCCTGAATCCAGGCAACTTCTCAGGGCAGCAATGGCATTAGAGATTATCTCCTCCTCACACCTCAGCACATCTGTCTGGGTAACAGCCCATTCACACTGCAGGCAGTTCTGGTTGTGAAGAACAGTGATTGAGACCTTCATGAAGGCAGCTGAGAAACAAAGTAGTTGACATGGATGTTATAGCTCTGAACCTGGCATCACTTACTGTATGTGCAGCAGAACATTGTGAACTTTGACTTTTGTCCAGGTGCAAATGTTACTACAAGAGAAAAGAGAGAGTTAGTATCATCAGAGCTTCCTTTACCATGTGTCTCCTGCCTTCAATTATTCCATTGCTTCTGTTTCTCCACAAAGGTATGTCTTTTCAATATTCTGACATCAGCTTTGCAGGCAAAGTTCTTCAAGCACAGCAGTATCTACATCAGTAAAACATGTTTTGGCTGGTGTAACTCTCTAACTGTGGATCTAGTAAGCAAGGGCCCTGTAAATATGCCATGCATGACCCTGTCTGCACAGGAGTTCGTGAAATTCACAGTTTGCTGCTCATTTACGAAGTTTGTACAAGATAGCTTTAGCTGCTTGCAAATGGATCATTGACAACCTAGACATCAAATTCATATCATCACTTACTTATCAGAATGTATAGAAAATGACATTGTTGAGCCAACAGTAAGCAAATAATACCAGTAAAGAGCAAAGGAGTTTACAATGGATATGCCAAACTTCTGTTCATATCAGTTCCACACATTAAAATGAAAAGGACACACACAGTCACCTTTGCTCTACAGACAGGACCAACACAAGAAATCTAGTAATGAAAAGCCTGTAAGCACTAATATTGCTGAAGCAAGGAAAGTAATCTTCAAGATTTACTCACTAGGTGTTGTCATCCACTATCCTACTGGCCACTGTATAATAGATCTGCAAAAGCAAACAGAAGAGAGAGCAGGAAGTACACAAGAACTACAGTTACATTTGCATACAATTAAAAAAGCTGAAGTAGGGAGAACTGGACTCTCATTAGGTGTCTGAAACTGAATGTCAAGATCTAACCTAACAATTGTTTTTAACAGTAGCTAAGAAAACTAAATTGGAAATTAGATCTAAAAAGGCCTTAGAAAGGTAATCTAGGCCACAGACCTGACCTTTACACCAAGAATGGATCAGCTGTGGCCAAACTGTTCCCACCAGGATTTTGTCTAACATGCTTTTAAGCTTGCCATCATTTTAAGGCAAGCACACAACTCATCCCCCTACCTGAAGAGCAGAGAGATGCTCTTTGTCCAGGAACATGCCATCTTCAAACTTAGCAACATGTAAATTCTTACAACACCCCTTCCCAAAGGGGGGTGGGGGAAGCTGCATGTGGTAGAGCTTTTATTTGGCAGGCACATGACAAAGGAGTGGATCTAGTGCAAAATAAGCACCTCCCTGTCCAGGACATCCAGATTGGTTTAGGAGAAAATGCAAGAAACAGCAGAGCTCACCTGGCCACTCTGCAAAGGGCTCACATTCAGTAGGGTTTTCATGGTGGTCTTCCCTACTACCAGGGACTGGTGCAAAACCTGTATGTCCAGCTGCACAACAGTGACCAGGTAGAAGTTGTTACTAGTTACATTCAGCACATTCTAGGGAGAAAAACAAACAATCAAAAAAAACCCCTGAAACACAGATCACCTTGCAGCAGGGTCATATGTTACTGTTACAAAGCTACTTTAAATACATCCCTGCTATGACCTTACAGCAACACTGGACTGCATTATCCCTTTCAAATCCTGGGATGCTTATCCAGCCTGGTCACAAAGGCATGTAGACTGCAACATCTCCCATGACAGGCAAAGGGGGACAATAAAGCAGCTCAGGGATGTGAAAGAAAAAGGATTTCTAGAATTAATCACAGTGCAACTTTGTGACTTTGCCGCTCAGAGGCAGGTTGGCCACACCTCTGATGCTGTAAAACACTCTGGACATTGATTCCAATCAGCCAGAGTGTGGAATAAGATGATAGGAAGAGCAAGACTAACCTCAGTCAGTGATCAGTTAGTTAGCCTACACAAGGAGTAGTAAAGCAGCCCTTCAGCTCTGCTCTTCGACTGTGGGCCGAGCACTTACTGTCATGTTGAGGTTTATACTGGTGGTGGCGTCATCAAAGCCAATGGAGGAGGCATTTAGCCCTGCAGGCAGCACAGTAATGGAGCGAGGAAACAGGAAGAAAATACTGAGAGATGTTGTCAGCAGGCAGATTGTCACAGCAAGACATACATAAAGTTTCCTGCAAAACAGCAGCAGGGACACAATTATTCTCTTGGTTTGTCAGCTGCAAGCACCTGCAGTTCTGCTGCAGCTCAAAGGGAGGAGAACATAAAAGCCTGGGTGCCAGAAAATCTAGGTGGATTTGTGCAGAACTACTTGCCAGCTACCAAATCACAGCAGAAGCAGAGTAGAGTCTCACACACTGACGTGGTGCAGTATAGTACAAACTGCTGGAGATCCCCAGCAACTGCATACAGGCTGTTCAGCATCTGCTATTGCTGAAGAGACACAGTGAACACCAAACCTACTGCAAGTCAGAGCCCAAAGAGCCAAACACCCAAAGGACTGAGGCTTTCCTTCATATGCAGAAGAAACATTCAAAAGATGAGAAAAGGAGAAAACTTGACAAGACTTACGTTCGCCTAGGCTTCAGCCTCTGGTCGCCATAAGGAATCAGAGCCACTAGCTGTTTCTCTTGCTCTGAAAGGGGTGAGAGCAGATAAAAGACCACATTAAGCACACAAATGAAAGCAATCTGCATTGGAGGACATTGCATGGCAGCCTAGTGTGCATCCACACTCACCTCACAAGTAATGCTGCCCACTTAGAAGGCAAGTATGATGCAATTAAGATTTCAGTTTGAGCATTTCCATCTCTGTGCAAAAACAACAACTCCTCAGGGGTTCCCAGGTGGGCTTAGAGTAATCACCCACATACAGCACTACCTGCCTACCCACCCCACCCTTCTGCAACAGAAGCAGTCCAGAGAAGTCACAAGTGAGCTGGAAGAACCAACACAGAACATTGCTAGACTGGATGCAATATAGACCAACTGGTTTAACAAAGGTCTTTAGACAAATAGATATGTACCAATCCCAGAAGGCTCAAAAGAATCACCTACCTCTAGGGATCCTTCCTGTTCCTTGACATGTTGGACAGTTGACACAGCTTCGATATGCAATCCCCACACAGGACGTAGCAGAGTCATTGATACTGGCATAATTGCTGATCTCATCTTCAGCATCTGGTTGCCTGGGTAAGATCAGTTTGCCTTCACCTTCCTTTTTGTCAGGTGTTTTCCAGAACGGTGAAAGTTTTCCACCCATGATTGAAAGAAGAATTCTCACTTGGTGTCAAACACAAAAACGGATTAAGAAAATTGTCTCTGAACCAACTTCCAAGAGCAGTACCATTAGCATTTGTAGTAGATCACAAGTATCCTAACATGTAGCAAGCTCCTTAAAGCACAGCTCTGAGGTTGCTTTTGAAACATTCTTCTAGACATCCTCGTTGCAGAAAAAGCATCTGAGAATACCACCCTACAGAACAGCATACCAGATTCTTTCTTATCTCACAGTATTTGCCAAAAGAGGGGAATGCTGACTCAAATCTCCTGAAGGTTTTGAGATAATGTAGTCCAGAAGAACTCTCAAGTTCTTGACTGATTGTTATTTACTTACATCCAACAGGGAACTCACCAAAACATCAAGACCTCAGCATCCCCAATGAAGCACAGCATTACTAACAGCAGCCTGACTAAAATGAAATAGTGTACAAACAGAATCTAAAACCAGATAAAATAACTGAATCTAAAGACAGCCTATTTTTATAAGTTAAAAATACAGATTAACTAGTTTTCCAGGCTTCTAACAATCAAAAACATTTATATCAGCTCCCAGTAATGCTCCCAAAAACATTAACAATGCCAAGCTGTCAAATAACAAGTGTAATTTTCATAACAGAGTCATCAGTTGAATACAGTTTCCTACCTGTGCCAGGCTTTCCTCTAGGCAGTCTTATTGTAGTGACTCAGATATAGATAGGATGTTTAGCTTTGGTAAACTGCAGCTTGTATATTTGCCCAGATGACACGGAGGCTTTGCATGAGTAACACCTCAGGGCTCTATTATAAAATATACTAGGGATCATAGAAACATCAAGGTTAGAAAAGACCTTCAAGCCATGTGCCCTACAACCACTAAACCATCTCCTGAAACACCACATCTACCCCTTTTTTGAACACCTCCAGGGATGGTGCCTCCACCACTTTTTTGGACAGCCTGTTCCAAGGCCTCACCACTCTTTCAGTGAAAAAAAATTTCCTAATATCCAATCTGAACCTCCCCTGGTGCAACTTGACCCCACTTCCTCTTGTCCCATCACTAGTCACTAGGGAGAAGAGGCCAACACCTGTCTCACTACAACCTCCTTTCAGGGAGTTGTAGAGAGCAATGAGGTCTCCCCACATTGCTCCAGCCTGAACAGCCCTAGCTCCTCTTAAGACCTTTTCTCCAGACCTCCCATCAGCCTAGTTACCATTCTCTGCACCCTCTCCAGCACCTTGATGTCCTTCCTATCCTGCAGTGCCCAAGTTTGCACACAGGGCTCGAGGTGCAGCCTCACCAAGGCCGAGTAGAGGGGCAGGATCACCTCCCTGGTCCTGCTGGTCATGCTTTTCCTGTTGTAGACCAGGATGCTGCTGGCTTTCCCGGCCACCTGGGCACACTGCTGGCTCACTGCTGTCAATCCGCACTCTCAGGTCCCTCTCTGCTGGGCAGCTCTCTAGCCACTCCTCCCCAAGACTGTAGCGCTGGCAGGGGGTGCGGCTGAAGTGCAGGACCCGACATTTGGCCTTATTTAACCTCATAAAAGTGGTGTGGGCCCTTTGATCAAGCCTGTCCAGATCCCTCTGCAGAGCCTCCCTACCCTCAAGCAGATTAACACCAAGAGTGCACTCTATCCCCTCATCCAAATCAATAAAGATGTTAAAGAGGAGCAGTCCCAGCACTGAGCCCTGGGGAACACCACTTGTGATTGGCCACCAACTGGATTTAACTCCAGTGAACACAACCCTTTGGACCCAGCCATCCACCCAGTTTTTTATCCAGCAAAGCGTATGTGCATCCAAGCCATGAGCAGCCAGCTTCTCTAGGAAAATGCTGTGGGAAACCGTGTCAAAGGCCTGGCTAACATGATGAAAATCACTGTCTGGCAGTGGAAACCCCCCATGATAGAAAAGCCCACAGACCTGGGCCATGATGAACATGGGCTGATTCCAAGGGCGGCTACTGCCTTCCCTGCTGACAAAGAACCAAGATCTCATTTAACTAGCAGAGATAAACATTGCTGCAGCACTGCCCATCCACCCCGGGAGGGTCACAGAGACCTTGCAGCAGCCCAGAACACCCCCAGCAATGAAATCTCATAGAACACTGCTCAGAGGATTGAGGTAATTCAGTGCTCCCCACCCTCTTGCAGCGTGGGGAGAGGAAGGACACAGACGCCTGAAGGATCAGGGCCTTTCTAACACAGGAAGTGCCTCGTTACAATGTACAGAAAGTCACCACCTCTGCAGTTTCTCCAGAGTCCCAAGCAATGAAGGTGCAGCTTTGCCTACACACTCGGTTAATGTTTCCTAGCTTTTCAGGAACAAGCGGTGACGAGGAGCACCGGCCTTTTCACAGAACTGAGACAACAAACCACGAAAGCTGGGAAAGTCATGAGTGTGTATCGGAGGGACCAAGTGAAAGGTGAAGTGGGTGGAATTAATCCCTTCAGGTACAGGCCTCAGGCACTGGTCAGGTTCAGCACAACACGTGTCCCCCCCGGCCCCAGCGCCGCTGCGGGGCCCCAAGCCCTGCCAGGGGAACACACCAGAAGAGTGCCCTACAACCACTAAACCATCTCCTGAAACACCACATCTACCCCTTTTTTGAACACCTCCAGGGATGGTGCCTCCACCACTTTTTTGGACAGCCTGTTCCAAGGCCTCACCACTCTTTCAGTGAAAAAAATTTTCCTAATATCCAATCTGAACCTCCCCTGGTGCAACTTGACCCCACTTCCTCTTGTCCCATCACTAGTCACTAGGGAGAAGAGGCCAACACCTGTCTCACTACAACCTCCTTTCAGGGAGTTGTAGAGAGCAATGAGGTCTCCCCACATTGCTCCAGCCTGAACAGCCCTAGCTCCTCTTAAGACCTTTTCTCCAGACCTCCCATCAGCCTAGTTACCATTCTCTGCACCCTCTCCAGCACCTTGATGTCCTTCCTATCCTGCAGTGCCCAAGTTTGCACACAGGGCTCGAGGTGCAGCCTCACCAAGGCCGAGTAGAGGGGCAGGATCACCTCCCTGGTCCTGCTGGTCATGCTTTTCCTGTTGTAGACCAGGATGCTGCTGGCTTTCCCGGCCACCTGGGCACACTGCTGGCTCACTGCTGTCAATCCGCACTCTCAGGTCCCTCTCTGCTGGGCAGCTCTCTAGCCACTCCTCCCCAAGACTGTAGCGCTGGCAGGGGGTGCGGCTGAAGTGCAGGACCCGACATTTGGCCTTATTTAACCTCATAAAAGTGGTGTGGGCCCTTTGATCAAGCCTGTCCAGATCCCTCTGCAGAGCCTCCCTACCCTCAAGCAGATTAACACCAAGAGTGCACTCTATCCCCTCATCCAAATCAATAAAGATGTTAAAGAGGAGCAGTCCCAGCACTGAGCCCTGGGGAACACCACTTGTGATTGGCCACCAACTGGATTTAACTCCAGTGAACACAACCCTTTGGACCCAGCCATCCACCCAGTTTTTTATCCAGCAAAGCGTATGTGCATCCAAGCCATGAGCAGCCAGCTTCTCTAGGAAAATGCTGTGGGAAACCGTGTCAAAGGCCTGGCTAACATGATGAAAATCACTGTCTGGCAGTGGAAACCCCCCATGATAGAAAAGCCCACAGACCTGGGCCATGATGAACATGGGCTGATTCCAAGGGCGGCTACTGCCTTCCCTGCTGACAAAGAACCAAGATCTCATTTAACTAGCAGAGATAAACATTGCTGCAGCACTGCCCATCCACCCCGGGAGGGTCACAGAGACCTTGCAGCAGCCCAGAACACCCCCAGCAATGAAATCTCATAGAACACTGCTCAGAGGATTGAGGTAATTCAGTGCTCCCCACCCTCTTGCAGCGTGGGGAGAGGAAGGACACAGACGCCTGAAGGATCAGGGCCTTTCTAACACAGGAAGTGCCTCGTTACAATGTACAGAAAGTCACCACCTCTGCAGTTTCTCCAGAGTCCCAAGCAATGAAGGTGCAGCTTTGCCTACACACTCGGTTAATGTTTCCTAGCTTTTCAGGAACAAGCGGTGACGAGGAGCACCGGCCTTTTCACAGAACTGAGACAACAAACCACGAAAGCTGGGAAAGTCATGAGTGTGTATCGGAGGGACCAAGTGAAAGGTGAAGTGGGTGGAATTAATCCCTTCAGGTACAGGCCTCAGGCACTGGTCAGGTTCAGCACAACACGTGTCCCCCCCGGCCCCAGCGCCGCTGCGGGGCCCCAAGCCCTGCCAGGGGAACACACC